TGTGTCCCACCCAGCGTGGCGCTCCTGCCCCTCCTCAGCATCGCACTCGTTTTTAAAACCTCTCCGAGGTCATTTTCAAACCTTCTGAGGTCATTTCCAAACTCTCTCCGAGGTCATTTTCAAGCCCTTCGAGGTCATTTCCAAACACTCTTCTCGTTCAGTTCCATTCTGAGCAAGTTTCAACAAGAGCTGGAAGAAATCTCACCAACCAGAGCAAAAATAATTAAACTAACTGCCTGTCAAAATCAGTTTTACTCATGCAAATGTTAAAGGACTAGAACATTAAAAAAAATAAATCTAGTTTTGGGATTTACACACTAAAAAAAGTGGATTTGCTTTTCCAGATATGATCTCCTGGGCCATGTGCATGCATCCAATATTTTTTCCCCAATTTCTCCTTTAAAATTCCAATATGACATTTAACATTTATTAATCCTGTTTAACCTTCAAAAAATTATTAGTGACATGCAGGGCCTAGTGATAATAAGATGGAATGTTGTGCCCTGGAAGAGAAATAGGTACTCAAGAGAGGAAGAAAAGGGGAAAGTTATCCATAAGGTTAAACAGAACTTTACATTTTTAATGTTTTCTCTATATCTCACCCCTCCCAGTTTGCTGTACAGCTCTGTGAAAGGAATGATTGTGAGATTTCCTTATCTAATCAATGTGTATTTTGATATTTTTGCTAATAGGTTACAACTCCCCACTGTGTCAGGGAGCCTGACTGACACACAGCCCTGACACACCTGGGGGAGCAAATGCCATGCATATTTTTACATCATTATTGTTAAATATTTTTAAGGATTTTTAAGAAACACAAGATTGATCAGGAAATTCACAGCCCAAAATTCTCTGCCGTTGGTACTGACCAGACAGCAATGCCATTTGTAAATTTATTGGGGTTTTTTTTGGTGTTTTTTTTCTCTGACAGAGATGTTCTGTCAATGCTATCAATGGCTTTTTCTATTCCTGTGTCACATTTATTTCCAAAGGCTGGCTAATCAAATGTGAACAATTAACATTCAGAGTGATTAATTGCCTTCTATTATTTTTTTTCCTTGAGGTGTGGGGTGTGTGAAGAGTTCAGATGCGACACATAAACCAGAGAGCTGATTCTTATAAATTCTTATAAAGCAGAAGAGCTGTTCTTATAAATTCATATAAATCTTATAAAGTATTAGCAACAGCTTTATTCCATCACAGTAACCCACACTGCCTGAGGTGTTTCTTCCCTGCACTTACAGTTTATTTTTCTTGGTCACCGAGTGAATTTTGTGCCTAATCCCCCTCTCCCTCCTGTGCCCACCCCTAAGATTTAGCTGTGCTGGTTTCAGAAAAGCCAGCCCTGGATTTCAGCTGCATCCCCTGCAGCTGTGGCTGGGGAAATGCAAAGCTCTCAGACAGAGATGCTGACACAGACAGGATCCAATTACAAATCTCTTAGAAAGTGACACACTGAAAGCTGGAAAAAACCCTCTCTGTGCTGTAGAATGGAGCAGGAAGAGACCTGCAGTTCTATAAAAATAATAATAAACAGCTGGATGAGGAGCTCAGGTTTCTTAACATCAGGCATGAAATCAGCCCAGCTGCTCCTCAGTACCCTGCTGCTCCTTGGACAGGAATATCTGAGTGAGGAGCTGGGGCCAGAGCTGCCCATGGTTCCCAGTGATGCAATTCCTGAGGAAACACAGAAATCCCAACACTGGGAACTCCTGCCAAGCCCTGAGAGCAGCCCCAGCTCCTGGCAGAGTGCAAAGAGGGGCTGGGAATTGTGAGTGCAGATCCCTCTTGGTGCTCTGGGTGCTGAGAGTTTCAGAATTTCTGTGCTGACAGGCTCTGACCCCCAGGAGAACACTGCACTGACCTGAGGCTGTGGAGAAGCTTCCAGAATGGAATGACAGAACTGGGATTGTGGGTGTGGAGTTTGGGTAGAAGTGTCTGATATCACAGGGTGGAAAACTTAGAGTTTAAGGGTTTAGAATATTGTAATAAATATAGAGCAAGATGGAGGGTTTAGGTTGGAGGCTGCTCCTTCTTCTTATTCTTCCTCACCTTCTTCTTCTTCCCCTTCTTCTTCACCTTCTTCTTATAGTTCTTCACCTTCTTCTTCTTCCCCTTCTCCTTCTTCTTCACCTTCTTCTTCCCCTTCTCCACCTTCTTCTTCTTCACCTTCTTCTTATCCTTCTTCACCTTCTTCTTCTTCTCCTTCTCCTTCTTTTCCTCCTTCCTTCTTCCCCTCATTCTTCTTTCTCCTTCTCCTTCTCCTTCTCCTTCTCCTTCTCCTTCTCCTTCTCCTTCTCCTTCTCCTCCTCCTCCTCCTCCTCCTTTTCTCCTTCTCTCCATGGCTTTGGGTGGTATTTTGTAACTGGACAGAAATGTCCACATTGCATGCCACGAGTGATCAGTTATTGGGTTAAAAGTAAAAATAATTTAGCTGTCATTTCTTAACTGGATAGTTGAGCCTTAAAAGACCTCGTAACAAGAGAGAGTTGGTGATTTTGTGCCTTGGTAGTGAAATACTGCAGAACTCAGGGCTGTGAGACTGCAACATAGACAAGAAATAATAAATATTTGAGCCTGAACATGAATTATCATCTCAAGTGCTTTCAATCCCACCTCCACAGGAGAAAAAGAAGCCAAACCCCAGCAGATCCTCAGTGGGGAAAACACCTTGTCTGTGTTCCTGCTGCTTCCCAGTGGCCAAACAACACCACTAAACAGATTCAAAGAAAAGAAAGTAAAATTCTGATAAAGCAGGATCCTCTTTTCAGCCTTCTAGAATCTGAAGTTTTAATATAATGATTATTACAGGCAGAAATATCTCAGGTCCTGCAGCTCAGTGACCTCCCAGGGCAGGTTCTTTAGAAAAAGTTCGCTCACATTGTGATTCCACGGATTTTTCTCCCCACTTTTAAAAAGAGCAGAGTTACACATGTTTTTCACACAGTCTACAGTGCATATAAGCTTTCTCCCCCCATCCCTTTTCCACTTACATGGAATAAAAAAGTCATAGGTAGCAATGAAGATAAAAGTAAAAAGGCCTGAGTGTCCCTGGGGGCAGATCTGCTGTATTACTCCCAATAGTTTTAGAACTGAAAATGTGAAAACACATTTGACTGATGCTTCTACTGCTACATGGATATTCTCAGCTTCTTTATTGTGATTTATGTGCAAGGATGAAGTCTATATTGATTGATCAAGACCTATCTGGATAATGAATTTTCCTTGATACCAGACTTATTTTGCATCACTGAATTTCTCTTCATTTTTGGATAGTGAATGGGGATAGCCTAGCATTTGAAAAATAATCAAGTAAATAAAGTAGTTGAATCAAATTAATCTTAAGTGGAATTTAATGCATAACATATTTTGGATTTTCTGATTTTCAGGACATCTGTGTTAATAACTTCTTTCAAGATGGTTTTTTTTGTTGTTGAATTATGTTCCCAGGACTGTTGGAGCCCCATTTTGCTTCTCAGACATTTCAGAAATTGCACTGATATGTCAGAAGAAACAAGGCAGAGATTCTGCTTTTTGTCTTCTAGTCTTAGCAATCAATCAGTGCTGTCCATAGATGGGCTACAGAAAGCTGATTTTTGGACCAAAAAAGGAATCCTATGAAAACAGATTTTTTTTTTCTCTCTCAAATTTAGTTAGGTGTGATATTTTGAATTTTCTGAGTGCCAGCAAACCCTTTCCTTCACAATGCACTCCTGGGTCCATCAGATTTATTTTCTGCACTGTCCCAGGCTCAGCTGCCCTGCTAGCTGAGGTTTAAATGGTACAAAAAAGCTGAGTGGTAATTGTGGGCACACTGTGAATATTCTGCTTGGCAGGGGCAGAAATCAAAACTCAAAGCCTTGCAGGGTGAGCCTGGAGTTCCTGGAGCTGGGTTTTTAATATTCCTGGGTGCTCCAAAATCCACTTTGAGACCTCCCCAGCTGCCCCATTGCTGGAAAATGATACAAAACTGAATTTTTTGTGGTAACTTAAGTCAGTTTTGTTGCCTTTTCCTCGGGGGAAAGGAATTTTAGGTTTTTTTTCAAAGAAGAAAAGAAACTTAAGGCATGATGAGTTTCAGATCCCAGCAGATTGGGAGCAGCACAGAAGATACAGAAAAGATAATGAGCGTTAATGAACATCAGCTGCAAACACCAGCCCTGGCATGGTCAGAGACACCTGGTCT